CAGACACTGGTGCTCCTCCTCCTGCTCTTGCTCCTGCTGCTGGAGTGAGGGTGCCAGCGATGTGGATGGGAGACACTGGAGAAGGCGGGTCAAGCCCATGGCGATGCTCACGAAAACAACAACATTAGCAACGCGTTGCACATAAATTGCACAGAAAGCATTCCCGACCCCAGCATCACGGCGCTGGCAGCTTTGCCACCCCTCGGGAGCAACAGCCCATCCGATCTACCCCCAGACACAGCTTACAGCAGGCAATGCCACGGCTCTGATTAAACTTAAATAAATTTAATAAACATAAATTATTTGCAGCAGCAGCCGCAGCTTCTGCCACCCTCTTTTGACTGGCACGTAAATGGCGTCGCTCACCTGCCCCGCCCACACTTAACAGTACCCTTGTCCTTTGCTTCTGCTAAAAGCCGACACAAAAGGCGCCAGATGTTGCCAAGGTGTAGCAGCCTCATCAGGGCGGCAGTCAGGCTCTAAGCAGCTCTTCCTTGAAAGTTTAATTAGTATTTGCATATCCCGATATACACACATACACACATATTAATGTATATATGTACAGCTATATATTTAGTCTCTGGAGAGACCATTTTGTATTGTATTCAACGAAAAAACACAGCAATTTGAGCTAAATGCTTAAAAGATCGTCTCAAGACTCGTCGAAACAATGAACCTTGCCATGGCAGCACAATGGGCTAGCCAACCTGGAACCGGTGAATATTGTTGAGGAATCGAAATCAAATTTTGGAAGCCGCGTTGTTAATATTGTGTGTGTGTGTGTGTGTGTGTGTGTGTGTGTGTGCATGTGTATAATTCTTGCTAAATGCCTGCTGTTTGTTTATATGTCTGTCGACATTCCATCCGGGAAGTTCGTTTTCAAAATGCATAACAAATATAAACAAATCAGCATAAAACATGAGAAGCCCGACACACATACATTGTTTAACTGAAAAGTAGATGGAACAGTTCTCAAGTCTTCGTCAATTTCGATGTGATTGAGAAGGAAAGACCATTTTGAGACTTATGCAGTAAAAGTAGAAAACATGAATAATGACACCAGTACTACTGCGATTCCAGCTAATAGATCTATTAATTATATAAAACATATTCTCTTCGGTTTCCCTGAAAGCCAGCAGCAGTCTGAAATAAACAGGGTGCTGAAATTGTTGTCTAATGAAAACAAATATGGGAGCTGCCATAAATATGGCTCATGCAAAGACAACAAACAAATTGATAGAATATTTCTTCGACTGTCGGAAATTCCGCCGCAAAACCGCAAAGTCAAGGAATTTATGGAAAATGTGTCTCTAAATATGGAAGCTATTCGACTTAATTGCAAAAAATATAAAAAACATGCATATCATCGAATCGAGCATGAACACTAAACAACCGCAACAAGCATTTAACGGGGCGATCGACTGCACACGACTCTAGATTCTACTTTACTCAAATCTAATATTACTCTCGACTTGCCACGCCCCTTGGGGGTGAGTGAAGAGAACACGCTGGGCCACTCGACTGTTTTAGATTCGAGTCAAGTGACGTGCGACACAAAAACCAATATACTCGCTTTAGCTGCGCGAACGAGCATGAAAGCAGAAATGACAGCAGCAGAAACGGACAAAACACAAAGCACCATGTTTCAAACGTTCTTGTCAAACGATATGTAAATATGTTTATTATTTATCAAAACAATAAGCAAACCACAGAAACAGAAACAAAATGTTTGCTTATACTTAAAACAATTTCGTGTCGCTTGATAAACAAAAAAATGCTTTCGTTGATGTCGCCGTCCCCACGGACAGCACTGCACACACATACATACATACACCAGCACAGATACAGGCACACAAGATAAATACACATGCACATTGGGTATACTGAGTGCGCACTGTACAGTGTACACTGCTCTATTATTATGTGAATAGACACACTCACACGCATGCATATCTATAAATCTAACATATACAAACAAGCGTCTTATTCGCTCGGTGCGCCCGCCTCTTAGTCTACGTACTTCTCTCTCCATATAGTTTCTGCACATACATATACATATATGTATAAAAAATATACACATGAATGTATGCATGTGCGTATGTGCTTGAATCTTTATTGTACGCGCTGAATTGTTTTTATGATTTTAATGTCATCATAAGTTTCAGACAGCTTTTTTTATGTGGCTGAAGCTTATTAATAAGCGCCTCTGTTTATGGAACAATTACCTTTATTATTATTATGAATATTTTTAATTGTTAAATGTTAATTGTGAATGTCATTGTTATAGATCGACCCAATAAAATGAGGCAAGACAGCTGTGTCTTGGGACGCCTTTCCATTCAAAAATCATATCACCCATTACCGCTCTCCTTCTCTGTCTTTCAATGATTCTCGCTCAGTCTCTCTCACTTTGTATCTTGCCGCATTTTCTGATTCTAATGCCAACTACCAGATTCGCAATTCTCAAATCTCCGATTAGCTCAAATTCACCTCGAAGAAGAACCATCGCATCGTTAATCAATATCAGCGTAGCGTTGTGGTAGGCCCATTAATTTTCAATTGTAAAATGAAAATTGATTTTTCACGGAATTGTGCAATGAACCGGTTCAGTTGAAATTGCTGTTCATAGCGTCAACCGGCTTTCCAGTTACCGCTAATTGAATACACTGTAAATTCATTGACTTTTATCTGTGCATCTGAGCCATAAGCCATTCGAAGCCGCGGATGAAATAAAACCAATTAAATCAAAACGAGTTTCAATTAAACTAAACTGTGAGAGAGACGAACCCGTAGAATGCATATTTCAATAACACTAATCTGGAAATTGCTAGTTTTTGTCAACTAGTGTTAACTGTTTTAAAACATGATCAACAAAGTATTAAATCAATTGTAATCGCATTTACATGTATAGAAACATCTCCCAAATAGACATTAGAAATAGGCTAAAAGTAAAATTATTTATTAAAACGAGAAATTAATAGCACAGTATTATGAGAATATTTAATATCCGTTTAGAAAATATGTAGTAAAACAATTGTGGGAATATTTAAGACCGATAAATTAGGCTACACAAAATATTGACTTGAACATAAAAATAATATTATTGAAAAGTTTTAACAATTGCAATCAAAATATTATTTTGCAATTATTACCGATAACTCTTTTAAGCGGAGATTGCGATAGTTTTGCTATTACGAGTCAAAGTGCATTGAGTCCAGTCGAGTCGAGCCGCCCATTGACCGCCATTACAAAAAGGTACCGTAAGCTTCAATGAAAAATCAATAAGTCTCACGCATTTGAAGAGATAGACTTCTGGTCCTGCGCTCTCTATCGATGCGGCTGCCATTCGACTCGATGCAAACTCCACTTTCTCTATCTCTCTCTCAAATACCGGTTTCGCTTGGCTCGCTCAGCTGTGCGCCGACTCACCACCGAACGGCGGCGCCGAAGTCGACGTCTCTCTGCCAACAACAAGAGCTGCCGTTGTCATGGCGACGCTCCCGCATTCTTCATGTTTCTCTCTGCCTTTGTGTGTGTGTGTGTGTGTGCGTGTGTCTACCTGTCGTACACAGACAATGCGGCGGCCATATTGGATTCCAGCACTCCTTTGCGCACTGGTGCCATCCCGCTCGCACCTGCGCGCCACCACTGCGAGCGTCGTAAATCTCCTTTAGGGCGCGTGTGTCCTGGGAGTCGTGATTTATGGGACGAATTGAAGCTGCTCACTGTAGCGTGTAAATAATTTAGATTAGTTTACCATTTGCGAGCTCTGTCTGCCGCTAGCCGGGGGTTGATTAGGACTCAAGTTGTTTCGAGGGGGAAGGAGGGACTAACTTTTGGCTGTTGTCATTTAAGCTTGGATGTTTTATGCCCAGTTTGATTCCTCAGAATTCTACGTGCAATTAAAGCAACTGAATTGATAAAACACTGCAAGAATTCGAAAAAAAAAAATCTCTTAACCAGAGTATTGTATCGGATATTTTGCAATCGGGCTTGGCAATGGACTTATCTGCGTCGTTCTTTATGCTACTGTAGTTCATAAAAAACTGTCCTTAGCTAAAAAGTGTTTTAGTTATGATTTATGACTTTCCACTACAGCGAAACTCTGCACAAACACACCTTTCAAAATATTACGCAAAATCTGTCCCTTGTATTGTTGCCGGCACCTTCCAGCTTGCCCAACCATAAAAAATATGCCGCTGACGTAAAAACCTTTTATAAAAAATCAGCGACAACAACAGATCGAAAGGTGCTGTCATAAAACAGCAAGCGGGAAAAGTGATGCCTGAGCATGCAATTTGCAGATAGCTAAATTTTTGATTTGCGAAACGTAAACACGAAACACATTCCAGTTTCTGTTTTTCTATTGCATTTCCCTTTGCTGCATCATCCACGCACTATCGCGTAAAAAATTCGAACAGGTAGCGTGAAGCACAAAAAAAAAAAAAAACATCTACAGAACAACAAAGAAAATCTAGGCAGAAATGCATGGAAAACGTTGCGCTCAACCCAGCAGGAGTCGGTGCTACAAAAGCTGCTTCTAGTTCTGCTGCTGCTTCACCCTTTACATGCCGAGCAATCGCCATTGGAATCGGAATCGGAGAATCCGAATCCAGAGCCCGGCGAGCCGTCAGTCGACCCCCAAGGGAGCTGATGTCCTGCCGTGATTCGCAGTGGACTGACGTCAGAGCTGGCCTGGATAGCAGAAATTATTTATTTTGCTTGTGCTCATCATTTACAGCTGAGATATTCGCTGTGCACTCACATTTCCGTCCGCATTGCCTCGCTCTCATCCTTGTTCTCGCTCTCATCAGCTTTTCGCGACTTCTTGGCGCGATTCGAGCAATATCCAAATCAGCAGAAAAGCTTACTGCTTCCCGCATTGCCAGCCCCACCAAGCCACGCCTCGCTCACATGTGCCTCACATGTAGCTCAACATTTGACAATCGTGACTAACGCGACTTTCTTTGTTCTTTGTTCTTTTGTTCATATTGGAACAGGTCCCAACGGTTGCCCCCGACGCCGAGGCCGCCAGACTTACACACGCTTCCAGACGCTGGAGCTGGAGAAAGAGTTCCACTTCAACCACTACTTGACGCGGCGACGACGCATCGAGATTGCGCATGCGCTTTGCCTGACCGAGCGTCAGATCAAGATCTGGTTTCAGAATCGCCGCATGAAATTGAAGAAGGAGCTGCGCGCTGTCAAAGAGATTAACGAACAGGTAAATTGACCGTAGCAAGCCGACTTGATCCATCATCGATCATAATTATATACATACTATATCATTTAATGCCCCCATCGTCATATTGTCATTGCAGGCACGCCGAGATCGCGAGGAGCAGGAGAAAATGAAGGCTCAGGAAACTATGAAATCCGCCCAGCAGAACAAGCAAGTGCAGCAGCAACAGCAACAGCAGCAGCAACAGCAGCAACAGCAGCAACAGCAACAGCAGCAGCAGCACCAGCAGCAGCAGCAGGATCATCACTCGATCATTTCACACAATCCGGGCCACTTGCACCACTCCGTTGTCGGTCAGAACGATCTCAAACTTGGCTTGGGCATGGGCGTCGGAGTTGGCGTTGGCGTTGGGTCTGGCCTCGGACCGGGCCTGGGAGCCGGCCTTGGCGGAAATCTGGGAATGATGAGCGCCCTTGACAAGAGCAATCACGATCTTCTCAAGGCGGTCAGTAAGGTCAACTCCTAAGCGCAACCGGCATCAGGAGAGCCCTTCAACTATCATTACCGCTACCGTCATTACCACCCCTAGCAACCTATGTCATCGCCAATGCAATCGTCGCCATCGTCG